AGTGAAAAGGTGGGTTAAATAACAGCTTGTACGATACCTGGCTATTTATAAGAAAGAAAAAAATTGTTACCCTATCCCTTCTAGTTGTATATTCACCAAAATAGACATCATCAATTTGTTTATAAGAGTTATTTGGGGGGATCTGAGGATCCTCAGAGTTACTTTTTCCTTCAAACAAATCAATATTTTTGTTAAAAAGCACCACTCTTAATGAAAACTTAACTAAGAAATAAAATATCAAAAGGCTAGTTTCTAATAAAAGAGAAGTGACTGGGTGCCTGGGCGGCTCAGTTGGGTTAAGCAACTGCAACTCAGGTCATGATCCCAGAGTTCTGGGATCGAGCCCCGCATTGGGCTCCCTGCTCCTCAGAGAGCCTGATTCTCCCTCTGCCTGTTGCTCCCCCTGCTTGTGCTCTCTCTCTTTCCATCAAACAAATAAATAAAATCTAAAAAAAAAAGAGAAGTGACAGAATAGAAGCAGTTAAATATAAACCTGGTAATCAGACTCTGAATAAATTAGAAATTGACAGAATTAGAAATTTAGAAAATACTTAATATTAGACTGTGAATATAAAAAGGCATATTCTTATGGAAAAACAGTCACAATTAAAATATGATGAACTAAAAAGTCATTTATCCTTCTCTGTCCCATACTCTCTTCTCACCTGAAAAGGGAGGTATAATTGTTACAAAATTACTATTCACTCTAAAATGTTTAGATTAAGCAAACCAGTTTTTCCACAGGCACATCAAAACAAATCAGTAAAACTGGTTTTGAACACAAGGAAAAAGAACGACTGTCATAGATCTATTTAAAGAAATGAAGTTTATGATCACTATTTGCTCTAAAATAAAAAAATCCCACAATTAAAAGCTTAGCTTCTACACAGTGTTGCTCATAAACCAGAGAAATCATAGTCCTCTGTTCCACTGATTCTAGAGATAATTTTTTTCTCTAGATAAGCATGCCCCAATGCCCACCTGGCTAAAAATAAAGGTAACAAAATTACAACTGAAAAATAATTGCAAGGAGCTTAAAAATAATTACGACTGGCTCTATATGCCTAAAATTAAGAAGAGACTAGTATCAAAATTAACCAGGGTAAGAAGGATCACATGGGAATCAGCAGACTTTAATAGAAAGTTTAACCTTTTCCTTGAATGAGGCTATAGTTTTATAGTTTTCCCCAGAAAATTAGGACACTTAATAGCTATTTAGAGACAAAGAACTTTGAATTGCATTATAAAAGGATAAGACTGTTTCACCAGAGAATTAGTTTAATTTACTATGTGAATCTGTTAATTAAAATATGCTATAATGTTAAGAAAAAATAGAATAAGCCACAAGTCCCAATGCTTAAATCTTCAATAATGAACATAAAACTGCAGGAAAGGCTTGCTATCAGTCTTTTCTACAACTCATACATGTTTTGAGCCTACTGTTACTGAGAACTGCTCTAGGCACTGGAGCTCCACGGCAAAGACAAGATCTCTGTTCTCATGGGGCTTACGTTCTACCATAAAGTAAGACATAAAGGGAATAGGAGTGAAAGGCTTCTTGGAGGACAGGACATTTGAGTAACCTGAATGACAGGAAAGAGACAACAATATAACAATTTGGCCCAGGTAACGGCAATACAAAGTATAAGAGTACTATAAATTTTATTTTATATTTTTTTTAGAGAGAGGGAGAGAGAGAGAGAGAGATGGAGGGAGGGGGAGAGGGAGAGGGAAAGAGAGAATCTTAAGCAGGCTCCAAGCCCGATCTGGGGCTTTATCTCACAACCCCGAGATCATGACCTGAGCCGAAATCAAGAATCGAATGCTTAACTGAGCCACCCACGCACACCGAATACTATAACAATTTTTAATGGATTATCTCTAGATCAATTTAATAAAATGCATTATCTATGATTCCTATGTGCACTAGCTTGAAAACCACCAATTGAAAAAAATCCTAAATGGCAAATAAATGGCATGAAATGATCAGGATAGGATTAAAATGAGAGTAACATTGGGGTGTCTCGCTGGCTCAGTTGGTGGGGTATGAGACTCTTGATCTTGGCGTCGTGAGCTCGAGCCCCACATGAGGTATAGAGTTTACTTTCAAAAAAATGAGAATAACATTAGTTCATGATAAGAATCAATTTATTGATGCTAACTATATTGTATATACTGTGCTAAATTATATAGTCTCATGTTCAGGCTGAAGATATACTGTGAGATATCCACACCATTTAGAATTAACAATATTTAAACTAACATTGTGGTCAAAAGTGGATGAATAGATAAAGATAGTCTTATCCGTAAGTAATACAGAATTTAAAATACCAAGTTAGTATTTCCCTTACTAGACTTCAAAACATTTTTTAGTCTTAACATTTTAAGACTCCTAATATCTGAGGCTACTGAGGGCAAGAGCAAAGGGATGCTCTCATTCAAAGTAATTGTGCCATAAATTGGTTTAAACTTTTTTTGATAGCAAACTGTCACTGGCTATCAAAATTTATGATGTGCATAGTCTATGAATGTGCTATACAAAGTCCCATACAATAGCACAAAATTACATATAAAGATGTTCATTATGTATCGCTTATAGTACCAAAAAAACCCATGGAAATAGTCCAAACATCCATCAATAAGGAATTAAATAAATAAATCATGAAATACCTACAATGATGTGGTATAATATACAGCATTTAAAAAAAGTAATGCTGTAGAGGCACCTGGGTGGCTCAGATGGTTAAGCGTCTGCCTTTGGCTCAGGACATGATCCCAGAGTGCTGGGATTGAGCCCCACATCGCGCTCTTGGCTCAGCGGGGAGCCTGCTTCTCCCTCTCCCTCTGTCTCTCCCCCTACTCATGCTCTCTCTCTCTATCTCTGTGTCTCAAATGAATAAATAAAATATTTTAAAAAATAAAAATAAATAAAAATAATAAAAAGTAATGCTGTAGGGGCGCCTGGCTGGCTCAGTCAGTGGAGCATGTGACTCTTGATTTTGGGGTTGTGAGTTCAAGCTCCACTTTGGGTGTAGAAATTACTTAAAAAAAATAAAATCGTTAAAAAAAAGGTAATGATATAATTTCATTGACACTGAAATGAAAAAATATCCAATTCACAATGTAAAAGGAAAATATCATTTAATGGTTTGTATGATTTAATTCTTTTTGTATAAAAAAAGTACACTTATAAATAATGTACAGAAGCAAAAATATTTGTATATACAGAGAAAATATCTCAAAGGATACATACTAAGTTGTTACTAGTGGTTTTCTCTCTTACGCCTGGGATTGATGAGGAAGGAAAGAAGAGAAAGGGCAAACGGAAGACTTCTTTTAAAATTTCAAAACACCTGTACTACTTCTTTTCCCAAATAGCAAACATGGATTACTTAGGAAACTTTTAAAAATGTCTTTAAAGGGGCGCCTCACTGGCTCAGGAGGAGGACCATGTGACCCTTAATCTCGGGTTCATGAGCTCAAGTCCCACACTGGGCACAGATATTAGGTAAATAAAACTTTAAAAAAAAAATGTGTTTCGGGCGCCTGGGTGGCTCAGTTGGTTAAGCGACTGCCTCCGGCTCAGGTCATGATCCTGGAGTCCCTGGATTGAGTCCCGCATCGGGCTCCCTGCTCGGCAGAGAGTCTGCTTCTCCCTCTGACCCTCCCGCTTCTCATGCTCTCTCTCTCTCTCTCTCTCTCTCTCATTCTCTCTCTCAAATAAATAAATAAAATCTTTAAAAAAAAAAAAAAGTGTTTCAAAAGTGCAAATGGGTTTTGAGTTTACGTATAGCTTGGATCTGGGATAATATCTTTCCAGGCCTCTTCTTATCAGGAAACATAGAAATGGCCCCAAATATTGAGTTACATATTATAATGACATCCCTTAAAAAGAAATTCCATTCGCATTACAATTAATAGAGGGCCATAATACAAAGCTAGCGTATTTAGGGTATCTTTAAGCTATACTTCAATGACATTCTATCATGTAAAATAAAGTCTAATGTGGTTTGCAAAGCCTTCCAGGATTGAGTCAACCCTAAGCTTCTCCAAGTTTAATATTCATGCGACTTACCTGTAATTCCTGTTAAAATACAGGTTCAGATGAGGAGTCTGTGATGGGGTCTTTTCTAAAAGTTCTGCAGACCACACTCAGGAGCAAGGATCTAGTCTTGATACCACACCACTCACCACACTTTAATTTAGTGAATTACTGCTCTTCCACACACACCATGTTGTTCATAACTCTGTCCTTTTTCTGTCTTACTCTTCGTCAGAAATGGTTTTCCCTTCACCTCTACTTCAAAAACTTTTATTCTTTGTTACTGTTTTAGTCCAAATGTCACAAATATTTCAGGCACATGTAGATGCTACTTCTTTTGCATTCCAAGATCCCTACGCATTTATGTTCAACTTATCACATTTGTTATTTACATGTCCATCTCCCTATGAGACAATGAGTTTGAGGATAGAAAATATCTATCTTCAGCACACAGATACTCAATAAATGTTTTCTGAGTCCAAGTCATTAAGGCATCAGCGCCACCATCTTTGAAATCATGGTGTCACAATCACTTTTATTCTGTAACATTTTCTTTGAAGTAATATTCAGCAAAAAATACTACCCAATTATTGAAGGTAATCTCTAAAGTATATAACAACATTCACTTTCAAAATTAAAGTAAAATATAACACAATTTGATGAGATGTTTATGTTAATGGTGGAAGAAAGTCACCTTAATTTCACTCTATTTTGGGGTAAAAAGGACAAAACAAAGATTGTACCCTTTGATATTCTTTTCATTTAAGTACTTGAAGCAAAATTAAAATGGCATCAAATTTCTAATTTACCTAATAGTCCTAATTTAATTAATTAGGACCTTTACTATATTTTAAAAATAAATGACAAAAAATAAATAAATAAAATCTAAAAAAAAAAAATGACAAAATAGTATCTTAAATCAAATGCTTACACACATAGCCCTCTCTTTATCACTCACCTTCCTCATCTATCCATTTCATGGTGAAAAGCTGTTCGTTGTCAAAGGAACACATATCTCGAACCTCACTGCAAAGGCCCTCAAAGGAGATTGAAGGTTCAAAATGTGTTATCATGATATCCCTGAAAAAGAAAAAGAGTTTTAAGTTTGAAGATGACGGAAACTAATGATGTTCTCCATACTACTAAATGCCTGACAATCCGAAGAATGTCAGATATTTTGTGAGTACATCATTGCATTGATTCCAGTAAACGATCCCTGTAAAGTTAAAAAAAAAAAAAAGCCGTATTAATAATGTTTAAAAATAAAAATAGTGGAATGTTAACTAAATTGAATTTAAATTAAAAAAATTTAAAAGTAAAAAAATAAAAATAGTGGATTTGTGAGGAACTTTAATTCAATCTCCCTCTTCCTTCAGGAAGCCCACCCTAACTGCTCTGATGGTCATCCCACTTTGCTTTAATATTAGTTTTCAGAAGTGCACTTTTTTGTGAGGCACTGAACTCCACAGATGAATAGCTCAGTTATTGATTAGCTTCTGCCTTATATTTAACTGAAATCTGTTCCAATCGCTGGTCCCAGATCTCCCCTCCTTAAGAAGTCTATCCTTCATCTAAGAGATGGCTCTTCAATAACTGGACAAAGATCTGATATGTCCTCTTCCTCAGCCCTCACTTCCACAGATTAACCACCCATAAGACTGTCACCCATTCTTTGTACAGCATGATTTTTAGACTTCACACCTTCATTTTCACCTTTTCCCAAAAAACTCCCATTTGCCACATTGGTTTTATAATATGACTAATATTTTAAGGTAGATACCCAAAATACATAGGAATAGACATAAATGTGTATTTATGTTTGTTTTATTGTAAAATAAGCAACAGTATTCAAATAAATCTATCTAGCAGCTACTCACTATAAAACTTAAAATTGTAACAAAATGGTTTTGTTTGTTTTTAAGATTTTTTATTTATTTGACAAAGAGAGACACGGCGAGAGAGGGAACACAAGCACGGGGAGTGGGAGAGGGAGAAGCAGGCTTCCCGCCGAGCAGGGAGCCCGATGTGGGGCTCGATCCCAGGACCCTGGGATCACGACCTGAGCCGAAGGCAGACGCTTAACGACTGAGCCACCCAGGCGCCCCAAATGTTTAGAGCAGAGGCCTGGGGTTTCCTCGAAGGAGCCAGGAGAAGGTTCCCTATGATCCAATCTCTGCCCAGTAGCCAGCTACAGTATCATTTCAAACGTTAAGTCAGATAGACTGAATGACTCTAATTTAACAAACTCTTAGAGTGGTCTCTAGGTGTCAGATTGTTCTAACGGTTTTACAAAGATAATGTAGTTCATATCCTTCCTGTTTTAAACTCTTCAGGTACCTTTCTTTCCCATGCAGAGTCAAATCCAAAGTCCCTAGCAGGGTCTACCAGGCCCTGACTACCTCTCCGACCAACCTCTTCTACTACTTCAACAGGTAAACCAATGTTTATAGTCTACCATCTACCCCAGCTAGAATGTAAGTTTGGTGAAAGTAGGGATTTTGTTTTGTCCATTATATTCCTAGTGGCCAACACAGCACCTAACACAGTGTCTGGCACAGAATGGATTCTTGACAAATACTCACTGAAGAAAGGAAGGAACTGTGAACAGACATGGGTAGCTAGAACACAGAACATAGAGTGGGAAATAAGGAATTTAGAATTTTAAGTCATCTGTAAAAAAAGAAAAGTTAAAAAACTATAGTCTTTAGGGGCTGTCAAAGGTAAATAGAGAGCAGGACATGAAAATTGGCCTTTTCTTGATAATCATTCTAAGCATCTCATAGCTTTCTGCCCCTGCCTCAGAACTCTCTTGCCTTGGCTTTCATAATAGTATGTTGCCCTGGCTCTCTGTCTGCTTTTCTGAACTCAAGTCTCCTTCGGTTTTCAATCACAAGATACTCTTTATACCCTCGCTCACATTCATTCTGTCACTCTTCCTTTCTCTCTAAACCTAATTCACATTCAATGTTTTAACTACTATCTCTGTGTAGGGGTCTTCTAAATCTGTAATTCTAGCTCTCTGTGTGGTATTTAAGTCTTTTGATAATTTGGTTCTATTTTCAAGTTGAACCCACCATTCCCAAAACAAATAATCTTCTACAGACATCTGGTTTACTCATAACCTCCACACATAAGACCTTGATGATCCAAGTTTTAATTCTGACCTTTCCGCAATTCAAGGCCCAGTTTATATAGGGAGGTGGGGATCAATTCTTTAAGAAGTGCTTCAACACCAACTTCCATTAAACCTCTTTCAACCACACAAGCCCAGTGGTCTATACTTATAAACCTGCCCAACACGTATCTTATGTTCAATTTTCTGTTATTTAACTCATATGCTGATAACACATCCTCAACTAAGTGTACACAACTGGAAGACAAAAATTCTCGGACTTCTTCATAGATTCACATAACTATTAACATAATAAGGACTCAAACATTTCTTAACTGAATGCAGAAGAAATACTCTCTAGAAGAAACCCATCTTCCAGAAAATGCACTTCTGACAAGGCAATATCATGGTTTATGTCTCCTTTGCCTGTAAGCATTTATAGAATACTGAGTGTACTCTGGGTGTTGAAACAAACTTTATCTTGCATAACCTTCACAATATCTGTCAAACCAGACATACTAATCTATTTTACAGATTTTAAAAAGCAAAGCACAAAGGAATATTTGCCAGTCTCTCCCAGTTAAAAAAATAGAATATGACTTCAAATCCAAATCTAATGACACCTGTGGTGGACACTGTGATCTGACGCTCCCCCTCCCTATCTAACCTTCTAAAAGCAATACACAGAGGGGCACCTGGGTGGCTCAGTCGTTACGCGTCTGCCTTCGGCTCAGGTCATGGTCCCAGGGTCCTGGGATCGAGCCCCGCATCGGGCTCCCTGCTCCGTGGGAAGCCTGCTTCTCCCTCTCCCACTCCCCCTGCTTGTGTTCCCTCTCTCGCTGTGTCTCTCTGTCATATAAATAAATAAAATCTTTAAATAAATAAATAAATAAATAAAAATAAAAGCGATACACAGAGGCAACAGATGCTTCTAGTTTAATATGGCAGAGGGAACACATATCTATATCCCTTCATTTGAAGGGCCCATGGAAACAACAGAAAACTGAAATGGCAAATTAAGTCTTAGAAATCAGAAAAGGCAGCAGCAGCGGAACAGAAAGTAAAAATCCCAGATGACTGAAAACAGATGGCATAAGAGTGACGAAGAAAACATACCAGCCCCAAACAACGAAGTTAAGTGAATCTTTAAAAGAGAAAAGTTTTGGGGCGCCTGGGTGGCTCAGTCGTTAAGCATCTGCCTTTGGCTCAGGTCATGATCCCAGGGTCCTGGGATCGAGCCCCGCGTCGGGCTTGGCGGGAAGCCTGCTTCTCCCTCTCCCACTCCCCCTGCTTGTGTTCCCTCTCTCGCTGTGTCTCTCTCTGTCAAATTAATAAATAAAATCTTTAAAAAAATAAATAAATAAAATAAAAGAGAAAAGTTTTATTTACACAAGATTACTTTTCCTTCTTTAAGCATCTACTCATACTACTTGGCTCTTCAAGTGCTTAACACCTACAAAAGCATTCATTATAAATGCTTGTTTTTTTTAAGATTTTATTTTTTTAAAAGATTTTATTTAATTATTTGAAAGAGAGTGAGAGAGCACCAGCGTGGGGGGCGGAGGTGGAGGAAAGCAGAGGGACAGGGACAAGCAGGTGCCCTGCTGATCACAGAGTCTAATGCAGGGCTTGATCCCAGGACCCAGAGATCATGACCTGAGCTGAAGTCAGATGCTTAACTGCCTGAGCACCCAAGTGCCCCAGATTTTATTTTTTTTTAAAGATTTTATTTATTTATTTGAGATAGAGAGAATGAGAGAGAGAGAGCACATGAGAGGGGGGAGGGTCAGAGGGAGAAGCAGGCTCCCCGCGGAGCGGGGAGCCCGATGCGGGACTCGATCCAGGAACTCCAGGATCATGACCTGAGCTGAAGGCAGTCGCTTAACCAACTGAGCCACCCAGGCGCCCCCCAGATTTTATTTTTAAGTAGTCTCTACACCCAACATGGGGCTTGAACTCACAACCCCAAGATCAAGAGTCACACGCTCCACCAACTGAGCCAGTCAGGTGCCCCATAAATGCTTTTTAAAATTGCTTTAAACATTTGTAAGTTAAAGAACAGAATAATGTTACAAACTTTTAGAATGTAAAAATTACTAAGAAAAATCAAGATGTGGAGAAAATAAAAGTATAAATTCAAAATGTTTCTTTCCTAGTAGAGAGTCAATACTCTATCTAAAACTAATAATTTAAAAATAAAAACAGGGAACAAGAAAAAACCAAATAGGGGCACCTGGGTGGCTCAGTCAGTTAAGCATCTGCCTTCTGCTCAGGTCATGATCCCAGGGTCCTAGGACTGAGTCCCACATCAGGCTCCCTGCTCAGCACGGAGTCTGCTTCTTCCTCTCCCTCTGCCCCTCCCCCGTTCATTCTCTCTCTCTCTCTCTCTCTCTCTCTCTAATAAATACATAAAATATTGAAAAAAAGAAAAAGAAAAAACCAAATAACCCAAATAAAAGATGGGCAAAGGATTTGAACCGACATTTCTTCAAAATGATATACAAATAGCCAACAAGCTTATGAAAAGATGTTCTACTTCGCTAATCATTAGGGAGATACAAATCAAAACCATAATGAAATATCACCTCATACCCATTAGGATAACTACTATCAAAAACAAAACAAAACAAAACAGAATAACAAGTGTTGACAAGGATGTGGAGAAACACAAGCCTTGTGCACTGTTGGTGGGAATGTAAAACGTGCAGCAGCTACAGAAAACAGTATGGAGGGTCCTCAAAAAATTAAAAACAGAATTTCCATTTGATCCCATAATTCCACTTCTGGGTACAGGTACAAAAGAACCAGACATAGGGACTCCGACAAATTATTTGTACACCCATGTTCATAGTAGCATTACTCAAAATAACCAAAAGGTAGAAGCAACCCAAGTGTCCATTAACAGGAATGGATAAACAAAATGTGATATATAAACACAAAGGAATATTATTCAGCCTTTAAGGAAATT